AATACGAGAACACCCAGTAACTGGGGCCACGGGGAGAGAGGAGTAGCCCCTCAGACTCTTCTTACTAAGTTTCAGGACATTTCAGGACATCGGTGTCCCCAACTCCAAGGGGGACCTGGTGACAGATGAGGCTGCAGGCTGCCTCCCTCTCCTGGACAGCTACCAGGATCTCACTGGGTCTCAGGGCCAGAGCTTTGGCCAAAGCAGAGAACAGAATGTGTCAAGGAGGAGAAGAATCATTTGTTTACAGACTGACGAGCAGATCCCAGACCTCCTCTGCCTTCGGGAATGGCAGAGACCTCCATTCCTGGGGCCAGGGCAGAGCTTGAGGTGTTCTGGGGAAGGCGGGCTCAGAGCCGTCCCTGCGCCCCTGCACTCGCTCTGGAAAACTCACCACTTGACTTCAGAGCTTTCTCCCCAAAGACTAAGATAAAGACGTGGCCCAAGGTAGGGGGTAGGGGGAGCCTGGGTCTTGGAGGGCTTTGTTAAGTATTAATACAATAAATGTTACACACGTGACACCTGCCCAGTGAAGTCCCTCTCATCAGACTTCCTGACGCCTGAGGTCCTCAGCCTTGTTCCTGGCAGTAGTGGGAGCGGGGCGGGTGTGGGGATGGGGTACAAGAACCCCTGAATGTGTCACTTTTGTTTGGGCTCCTGAAAGACCCAAGAGGCTGTGTTCTTCACTCCCCAGGCGAGACCCGATGATGGCCCAATGGGTTTTCCTCTCCTCGTTCAATCACCATGGAAACAGGCACACCATCACAAACAGTCTCAGGGCCCACATGTCTCCCGACACCTGGGGATGTCTTACACGTTTCCTGGCACTCTGTGTTCACACCCTGCTTGCCCCTGTTTTGCTGGCTGTTGAGAAACTAGGGAAAAACATTAAATACTGGCCACCGTGAGCAGCAGTGCTAGAGTGATGGCCATGGTCAGCCCTTGCAAAGGCACCAAGCCTAAGAGTGCATGGAGCTCTGGCCCCGGCGTGCCTCCCTCTGTCCTCATGTGGCCCTGTGGGATGAGCAGAACAGGAATTGTCATCCTGTTTTCAGGCGGTGCAGGGCAGAGCTAAGGCTTGCCACCATGTGGCACTCTCTGGGGGTCTCTCCAGGCCCCGAGGGCTGAGGTGCAGCAGGCCCTATTTCCATGGAAGCTGCAGTAACTCATTGGCGCGCCCTTTACAAGTGTGAGTGAAGCCGCCGAGTCCAGGCTACTCTGCAGCAACACCGGCGCAGGCCACATGGCCCAGAGCCTGTACCAAGCCAGTCCCAGGATCTAGTAGAGTCTCAAGCAAGGTCAAAGGTAGTTTCTGGCCTTTGGAAATTAAGCAGCTAGATTGATGGAGGGGAGCACTGGTTCCAGGCTCAGCCTGCCATTGGTTTGCATCTCTGGGGCCTCAGTTTCCTCATCTGTATGGTGAAACATGATGGCCCCTTGCTGGCTCTGACACACTGGGTTTCTTTTCCTTTTTTTTTTTTTTTTTTTTCTTCTGAGGCAGAGTCTCATTTTGCTGCCCAGGCTGTCATGCAGTGGCATGATCTCGGCTCATTGCAACCTCCTGGGCTTAGGTGATCCTCCCGCCTCAGCCTCCCAAGTAGCTGGGACTATAGGGGCATGCCACCATGCCTGGCTAAAGACACACTGGGCTTCTATGGAATCAGTAACTCCCAGAGAAAACGTCTTCCAAGCAGCACTTTCTGGCCACAGGTCAAAGGGGGCTCAACCTGGTCTTGCCCACTCCTTCATGATACAAACGAGAAACTGGCCCAGAGAGGGGAAGGGACTTGCCTGGGCACACACAGCAAGTCCCTGGGGTTCAAGCTCAGCGGTTCTTGGCCACAGTCCCATGCGGCCTTGCTGTTCACCAGGCAGAACCTGCAGGGATCCTGAAGAAGCCCCAAAGGAAACCCGCATGCTCCCCCAACCCCGAGAGCCCAGGGTAAGTTGCCAAGGAGGGTTCAGCTCCCAGGGGAGAATCCGATGGAAGAACGCCTTTGCTGACCCGGAAGCCAAAGGGAGGGCATTTGCATCTCAGGTGACTGCTGGTCAAACTGACCCAAGGGGTGGCAGGTGGTGATGGATGAGGCATGCAGGGCCAGTGTGCGAGTTGTTTGGTGTGTGTGGACTGAGATGGGTATTGGACAGACTCTTAACCTACAGCATCTCATGGACCACATTATGTCCTAGAGAGTCCTAAGGCAGCAGCCACAAATCTCCCAGCCAAGAGACGCAGGCACTGGGCAGGGCAGTGTGCCAGTCTGAGGGAGGTGCCACCCTGGGGGAGATGAGGCTGAAGGGGTGAGTGGGAGGTATAGGGGAGGGGTTTTCTCTGTAGTCGCCATTTGCAGGATGTGGCACCTTCTGGCCTGGGACGCACCAGTGCTACATTTGGGTTCTTAGATATTAATGTACAAGCGTCCATGCCACTTAGTCAAACACTGCTCGGGACCCCTCCCTGCAAGCGCCATCCCTCCTTAGGTCCCTGCCCCCACCTCCCCACAACCTAGCAACTAAGGGGTTCATTCCTGGCCTGGGACTGCTCCGGTGGGTTGGTTCCAGTTGGTCAGTGCTCACATTGTGCCATTCGTTTTGCATTTTGACCATGACTCCTGTGTGGAGCACTTTACAGCCACCTCCCTCTGCAGAAGTGGGCCCCTCCTGCAGTCGCACCTGCCTAGCCCCAAGAGGTTTGCAGCCTCAGGGACATCTCACAGCATTGCAGACACAGCCCTGAAAGTCTAGCAGAGATTCCCCTTCGTGAACTTGACCCAGTGGTGGGTGTCGGGGATGACGAAGGGGTGCGGGGGGTGGGTACCTGGACTGGCTCCGGGTTTTACTTTGAACCAGTGCCGTTCACTTTGTGATTAGGGGAACATCTGCTGTTGTTACTGCAGCAGCATTTAAAACTGATTTTTAATACCAAAGCTTTCCTAAATGCATGCTTTCTGCCTACCTCGCTTCCACGTGGAGGCATCATGTTGCCAGGGGCTTCTATCAGGCCACGTCTTGGTAGAGGTTTCTGCTTCCCAACTTTTGAATGAATGAGTCATCAGGTACCCCCTGGGGCTGTGAGCAGGGACAGGCCAGTCTTCATCAGAGAGACCTGAGCTTTCTCCCCAAAGACTAAGATATCTTAGTCTAAGACTGGAGCTCAGGTCCTCTTCTAGCAGGTGTGGTTGGTTGTGTGGTCCAGGCACATCATCCCCTGGGCAGCACAGCCCATAAACGGTATTAAAATGTCAGCATGACAGGACCTACAGACACCACCAGATAACTACAAGAGGTGAATTGTGGTTGGTGGAGCTTTTGAGCATCTGGGTAGCACAGTGGGCCAGGCACTCATATTGGCCTCACAACAACCTATACAGCAGGTCTGTTATCAGTCACATTCTTCAAATGAGGAAATTTCAGTACAGAGAGGTTAAGTAACTTGCCCAAGATTGCACAGCTAATAGGTGGCAGGCCAGGATGCAGGCATTTAAACCCCTCTTATGCAGTTTGCAGGGAGCTGAGGCTCATCAACATGGATCCAGAGGGCCTGTGTGATGCCACACAGAGGGCAGAGGAGGGTACCCTGCCCCCCAGCCCCTTGCTGCTCTTTAAGACCAGAGCGGTCAGAGGCTGAGGGTCCAGGTTGAGGACTGTCCCCATCCCATGGGCCAGATAATGACTCTGAACAGCTCTGCCCAGGCCATTCCTGTTTCTGTGGCTCTGAGGTCTTCAGAGGCCATTGGACAGAAACCACTGGCTGGCTTCCTGGTGAGGGGGCTGCCCCTCCAGGGGACTCCCCACGCCAGGGGAATCCTGGAGTAAAACAAGGCAAGTAGGAGGGGCCCTTGGTGACCACCAATCCTGCAGCCTGTATTAGTGAGGAAGAATCAGAGGCCATATCCGGGCTCCAAAGGAGGGAGCCTGTGACCAGCCAGCACTTGCCTGGGGTGCAGAAGAGGTAGATGCACCTGTTTCCTAGTCCTCCGTTGTACAGATGAGGAGACTGAGGCAGAGAGTGAGGATTAACTTGTCCAACATCACACTACTGATGAGAACACCATAGTCCCCAGCCAGGACTGGCCTGCCGCACCCTTCTTAGTTGTGAGAACTGTGTTCTGATAAAATAAGTAGCTCGGCAGGCCAGCAGGCCCACCCTCTCTCAGCCATGGAGCCACGTCCACAGCAGCAGAGAAAACCTGGGCCTGTGTGCAGGGGGAGGCCTCTCAGGTAGCTTTGCTAGTAGGACACTAACAGCAAAATCCAGGGCCACTTCCTGCTACCGGTACTCCCCTCTGCACTGTCACAGGCAAAAGGGCTCAGCATTCCATTGATGGGGCACCTGGTATGTAACAGGCCCAGGGAGAGACCCATTGGCAGGTAACCCGGAATCTGAATTAGCTAGAGAGGATCCTTTTGTATGTGCCAAAGAGAACGAGGTTTAGGGGAATTCGCTATTATTTTTAAAATCGATTTATTTTGCCCGTGGACATAGACTCCAAGACCATGATTTGGGGAAACAATGTGGTCAAACCACTTGTTTTGTCCACAAGGGACCAAACTCCTGTTTGGCCTGATTTTCCCTCTGACCAGAGTTGGGCACAATCACCTTGGCAGAGAGGCTGCCCTGAGGCTGTGCACAGAGCAGAAGGCACTGCAGAGAGACTCATTCTCCTCTCACTGTCCTGCAGGTGGGGCAAGGAGACCCCCAGAGGAAGCGTCCGGCCCCACAGCACAGGGCGGCGCTGGACTGCAGCCCCGCCTCCTCTGGGTCCAGCGCCTATTCTCCGGAGCATGTTGGACGCCCTGGGGGGTCCACGCCAGCATGTCTTTCCCTAGTGGCTCCTCTCCTCCCCTCCTCACCTTCCTTCCGTTGAACCAAGCTCTTGGTCCCCAGCACCCATTCCCAGATATCTCAGAGGTTTCAACCACTCCTGGCCTCACTGAAACCAACCACCTCTGCCAGCAGCCCTCAGCCTGGGGCTCATTCAGCTTCATGATACCCAAGATATGGAAACTCCAAAAGAAATGTCTTTATTCTTTTAACTTTCTCAATATTTACAAAGAACAAGAACAACAACAACTGAGATTGGCTTGCAGAGTGGGTGGCAGGTGAACAGACGTGTCACTCTGGCTTCCAGGGTGTCTGCAAGCAAGGGCAACATCCTAGCACCCATGGTCTGCACAGGGACAGCGGGCAAGCTGTTGGGCCCTGGCCTGCTTGGGGAGGGGCCAACCAGCCCCCCAGCTTCCAAGGCTGCAAGACTGAAGGGTGACTGCTTGAGGAGCCCTGCCCCAATCCTGCCCTCCACTCCCATACGCACACAAATGGAAGAGGCCCCACTGTGGCCCAGCCACCTCCTCACAGGAGAGCACCTCGGGGACCTTGACACTCCTGCAGGCCAGAGTGGGGGCTGAGGCCCTCTCGGCCCGGCTAGAGGTAGCCAAAGACATTGAAGATGGGTGGGGGCACGGCCGGCTTGGTCGGAATGGGTTTCAGCACCACAGGCCTGCACACCTTCTGCCCCAGGCCGTCTGCATCCTTGCAGAGGTGCGCCAGCTCCCCGGGAAAGGCTGGACTCTTCTTCCACAGGCCCAGGCTGGGGACAGGACTCTGAGGCAGGGCCCCTAGAGGGCCCGGGTAGATGGGCTGTCCATGGTACTGGAAGGGGCAGCAACTCCAGGCATTGACACGGCCCACCAGGGAGACCCCAGGCATCTTGAGTGGCTCCTTTTCAGCCAGGGCCCTTGGAGACATGGGCACTGGGACAATCTCAGGCCCCAGGGGCTCCAAGCCCTTGCAATTTTTCTTACCCTCGTAGGGAGGTCCCTCCCTGGGGCCCAGTCCCCCCTCCAGCCCCACATGGTAGCTGTGGGTGGGCCTCGGCTCTTCCCAGAAGGAAGCAGGTAGCTGTCTTTTCCTCATGGGCACCTGGCCAGGCTGGGCAGCTTCTGGATGCTGCCCCTGTGGGAGCTGCTCCTTAGCAAGACATTCCTCCCTGTAGGGGTTCCTCGGCGCCTTCTCCTTGCAGCCCCCACCCCCGCCGGGGCTGGAATCAGGGCCCAAATCAAGAAGCAGCCTCCCGGGCCGGTCCTCAGACCCCCTTTTCAGGTAGGGCTCAGCGGCTCTGCCCGGAAGTCCCCGCGGGAGCCGGGAATACTTCTGGGAGAAGCGCTTGAGCTGCTTCTGCAGGTACTTGCGATGGTCCACGGAGCGGCGGCAGGGCGCCGACTTGTCCAGGGCTGCCTTGATGTCGCTGGACGCCAGGTTAACGAAGTTCAGCAGCATCTTCACATCACTGTCGGATGCCATCACCAGGGGGCCACTGCACGAGGCTTTCCATGAAGAGGGTGGGCTCTGCTGGTGGCCGGCAGCTCCAAGGAAGGGCACCAAGCTGACCTGGGGGACAAAACAGGCCATTGGAGTCTCTCCGAGCAGCCACACCCAACCCTGCCAAAAGACCACAGCACCTGTCTGCAAACGGTGTCCCCACCCCAGCACCCCTCAGCCTTAAACAGAGTCCTGGGTAGAGGGATGTGGGTGCAAGTGGCTGAGCACTTCCTGCACACCTGGGATGCAGCAGGCGCCAGCAGAGCCTCACCCAGCCTGCTTGGGTCTGGTGCCCTCTTCTTGCAGCCAAGGCTCAGAAAGGTCAAGCAACTCGCCCAAGGTGACCCAGCTACAGGTGGCATTGCTGGGGCTGGCACACACTCCCAGCCTGCCCCGTCTCCCACACACCACGCTGCCAACTTGCCAGTGAGGTGTTTATTCTCTGAGCTGAGGCAACTGCTCCACTTAAAAGCAAGGCCAAGCCCCCTTCCTCCCTGGTGGTAGCCTCCCCCTCCCACCACTCCCGCCCCCGGCATGAGGAGCGCCAGCCCCCCTCCTCAGTCCCCACGCTCCACCCCCAGCTCTCACGCAGGACCAGGCAGGACCCCTGTCTGGCACTTAATCGAGACCTGCCTTGCAGGCTGATCTCAGGCTGCGGGCAGCAGGGACTCCCCCGAAGAAGCATCTGCAGCAATTTCATGCCTCCTCGGCCGCCACCCACGGCACCTCGCCCCTCCTCCAGGCCCCAGCCTGCTCCACACCCACCACCCAGTCGGGCCAGAGCCACCGGGCCTCCACACTGACCGAAGGTGCGGCCAGGGCCCAGCCAACGCGGCCCGGCAGTTTCCCCACTGCAGACCTGGGACAGGCCCCGGCGCAGCCGGCTGAGCTCCGTCCGGCTGGAAGCAGTTGTGCAACCCTCGAGTGGGCTGAATGGAGGACAACTCCCCGGAGCTGGGGGGCCCCTCAGGCCAATCAGGAGCGCCTCTCCAGATACAAAGCATCCCAATCAGGCGGCGGCGCCCCGTTCCCACATTCTTTGCCGTCACAAATTGTCACCATGGGGACCATCACAAAAAAGACAGCTCCCAAATGCAATCATTTCCCGGTAAATTTCTACCCTTCAGCCCCACTCTCCTGGGCCTCCACGCTCCTCCTCCCCTTGACCTCGGTTCCCTGGTTTCTCAAGGGGGTGGTGTGTGTGTGTGTGTGTGTGTGTGTGTGTGTGTGTGTGTGTGTGTTTAAAATGTCCAGGATCGAGAAGGGGCTGGGCCTAGTAGAGACAGGCTTGCAAACCTCCCCCAAAGACTGCAGGCCTACAGCTGCCATGCTCCAGTGCGGACAGACAATCGGACGGGGTAAGCTGGGGCGGGCTGCTTTTCCCGCTGTCCTTGAGTGTTGAGTGGCTCTCTCTCTCTCTCCCTCTCTCTTCTCCTCTCTCTCTGTCTCTCCGTCTCTCTCTCTCTCTCTCTCCCCCTGCCATCCCCACCACCCTCCCTGCCAGGATCACCAGGGATCAGGGATGGAGGGCCTTCGAGGTCGGGAGGTGCGCTGATGCCTGTCGGAAAAGGTGGCCAAGGAAGGACTCTCTAACGAGGTGCTGGGATATCCATGGGAAGGGAGCTGGAGCTCTCAGGAATCTTGTCTTTATGTTTGCTTCCTCAATTGAGCTGCACAAAGCCTGAATTGCCCATTCAGTGCAGCCGGACAAAAGGTTGGCGTTGCACGGTCCCCTTGCATTTGTAGTCAAACAGTTAGGGACTTAAATCGAGTCGTCATGATGGAGAAAGAGGTGGACAAAGCCCATAGAATTGCCATCAGCAAACATTTTCCTGTGTCATATTAGCCAGTTTCCATGGCTCCCCCTGGCCTGCGGACAATGGCACAAGTTTGCACACTTGGCTACTGTCACCGTGCCAACGCCGGCGGGGCTGCAAGCAGGGCCGCTCTGAGCAAGCAAGGGAGCCCAGAGCCGGCGTTGGCCCTGCCCACCAACTGGCCAGAGGGAAGGTGAGGCTGAAGGCGAGGGCGGCTGCCTGGGAAATGCTAATGGTCGTGCCTCCGTGCCAGCCCAACTCATGGGCCCCTTTCAAGCCTCATCGTTTTTCTGTCCAGGCTCAGCCTCCTCTTCCCTCCTCCTCTCCTTCCCCTTCCTTTCCTCTTCCCCTTCTACTGCCTTCTCCTCGTGTCTCCCTCATCAGCCAGATGGCTGATGGTCTATGCGCCAACCCACCCCTCTGTATTGCAACCTAAGATTTGGCACCTTAGGTTGCAGGACTCCTCTCTGGAGTCTCCCTACCCAGACTGGGGGCATTGGCAGGGCAGGGCCAGGGCCTCCATCCAGGAGGGATGGCCCCAACTCCTTCCCACTGGCCAATAGACAGCTGCTGTGGTCTGCCTCCAAGCCATCTCCCCTACCCCCAGCCTGAGGGTCCCTACAGGCAAAATGAAGGGTGTGGAGGAGATGGCCCGTGCTGACAAGCTGTAACTCAATTTAGGCCTTGAAAGCCAGCACTGTATTCTCCATGCTCCTACCGTGCTGCGGGGTCGGGGAAGTGAGACGGAAACGTGGCTGGACTGACGCATCCTAGATTGTCGGCCACTACGGGCCCTGGAGAGTTGCTCCTGCCTGTGGCAACCTTTGCACGGGTGAGAGCCAAACCATCATCATTTGAAGTGCCAGAGATTCGAGGGCTATGTGTTTCTGCAGTAACTCCCAGCCCACCCTGACTGGTACAGGCAGGAAATATCCTTTCTGCTCCAAAACACCTGGCACACGTGGCTGGAGAGAGCGCCCTGAGGGCCTGTGGCCACCAGGGCCAGCTCCCTGCTGCCTACTGCATGAAGCCGGTGTGCACAGCCAAGAGTTCGAACCTGTCTGGCAGCCAGCACCTGACCACATAACAGCATGCTTTGCTGTGCCCTGCCTTTTTCTCCCCGGGCCTTCTGTGCTTTCTGTAGCCTGCATCATTCCTCTCTCCAGAAGATCTTTTCTCTTCTAAGGGCGTCAAGACATTTTAAAGCCACTCAGCTCAGCTCCCAGCGTCCTCCAGATCCCACGGCACCTGCAGCCCTGCCGGCCCATTCCGCACTGCCAGATCATGAAGATGACTCTCATTTCTTAGCTAGTAGTGAGTCCCCACCAGGCCCGTGGACTCCATGGGAGGTGAGTCAGTGTCTTATCAAAGTCTTTCCAAAGCTCTGAATGTGGGCTGTTCTTCCACCAAACACTTTTTGAGGAAAGAGAGAAGGAAGAAAAGAGGGAAGAGAGAAAGGAAGGGGAGAGAAAAGTGGAAGAAAATGGATTCTTTGTGGACACTTAGCATGTACCAAGAGCCATATTCGAGAACCACATGAAGGCCTCACGTGACCCTCGGGGCAGCTCTGTGAGGATAGTGTTTCGGTTGCCCTGACAAGTGAAGTGAGGTTGAGTTACTTTCCCAAGGCCTCACAGCTGTTAACCAGCAGAGCTCGAACTTGAAGCCAGGCCTGTCTGTGTCCAAAGGCTGAGGTGGATCTGCCTGGCCACCCTGCCTCCTGGAGCTCCCATGAGCACCAGACACTGCCTAAACGCTGCTGGCCAAGACCAGATTTTCTCCATGCGTCCTGGGTTCCACTCTTCTAGCCCAACGTTGGACCTTCCTGACTCAGGAATACGGGAGCTGCAGCTTTGGGAAGTGAGGAGCAGGGAGAGGAGGCAGCTATGGCTTGAGGCCAGGCCTCTCGGTGCCTCTGACCCACACAAGGGAAGGCTCTCTGTGTTTTTGTGATTGGCCATATAGGCAGGTGGAAAGACAGCAGTAATCATACGAGTCTGAAGGCTCTCCCAGTGTTCGCTCATTATTGTCCTGTGTCTGGGCAGAGGGGATTATTTTTCCCGTTTACAGTTGGTGACACACTCACAGAAGCCTCAAACCTGATTCTTGGGCCCAACTCAGCCAACCCTGTCCTCTCAGCCATTCTTCAAGGCCCAGCTCAAACATCCCCTCCTCCAGGATGCCTCCTGCCAACTCCTAGCATTGTTAATAATGCCCTCTCACATCCCTGTGTTCCTAGAGTCAAAGATGAAGTCTAACCTCCTTAGCTAAATGCAGAAGACCCTTAGTAATCTGACTCCTACTAGAGTCGGCACAGAGTAGCTTCTTACTAAATGTGTTAGGAATTAAATACTTTGCCCATTCCACTGAGCAGGATGTTTCCTGTGGACCATAAACAGCTGCTTCCTGTTTTTTGTTTTGTTTTGTTTAGTTTTTTAATTTTGTCTGTTTATTGTTTGCCCCACCCAGGTGAGCTGAGCCCACCCAGGTGAGCTTCAGGAGGGAAGGTAGGTCACCCACAGGTTTCTCTCTGTACCTCCTGTGACTCGAATGGACTCAGCACACAGCAGGCCTGAGTGAAGGATGCTTGTGGTTGCTATAGCTTACGTGACAACGAATTGTCTGTGATCCTACAGGACTGTGGTGCATGAAGCTGGAAGTGCTTCTTCCCGACTGCATCGCCCAGCACCAGAGCCTGGGTTCTGTAAAGCTCTGTTAAAGGCACATGAGCTGTGCTGGCTTCAACTGCCGTGAACTCGGATAAGCTGGGCCACTGACGGCCCCTTTTCAACCAGTCGTTGCTGCCTTGGTTTTCCGACAATGCACTGTGCTGACCCTGCTGCAGGGACTCCCAGGTTTGCATCAACTCCATTCAACACCTACTGTGTGCGGGGAACAGAGGGTGTGGAGGTGGCATTCCCTGCTTTATCTTCATAAGTAAACAGCTGTCTCCCGCCCACTCATCAGTGAAGCAGAACAACTCCCCAGCAGTATCCTGGGAGCCACTCCTCCCTCTGTTGTCAACAGACATCATCTACTTCTAGGATTCAGTCAGCACATGTGTAGACTGGAGCTGCAAGTGAGAAGAGGCACCTGGCAGGGCATGCACAGACCAAGCCCGAGGGAGCCAAGGAACTCATCTGGGGCAGTGGGTTTTCAAATTGCTTTGAAGCAGAGATGCCCACTTAAAAATATGTGGTGATTCAGCCAGGCACAGTGGCTCAGGCCTGTAATCCCAGCACTTTGAGAGGCCAAGGTGGGCTGATCACCTGAGGTCAGGAGGTCGAGACCAGCCTGGCCAACATGTTGAAACCTCATCTCTATTAAAAATACAAAAATTAGCTGGGAGTGGTGGCGGGCACCTGTAATCCCAGCTACTCAGGAGGCTGAGGCAGGAGAATCGCTTGAACCCGGGAGGCAGAGGTTGCAGTCAGGTGAGATTGTGCCATTGCACTCCAGCCTGGGGGACAGAGGGAGACTCCATCTCAAAAAAAAAAAAAAAGGTGGAGATTCAATGTGTAAAACCATGACAGCCATAGGCTATGAGTACAAATTTATTTTACATACTCAAATGCATACCTTCTACTTATTTACAAACGATGCATTAGAACAAGGAGTCTGTTCTGATGACATAAAACTTTGAAATCAGGACATATGGATTATGGTCTCACATCAGCCATACTTTGTTTTAGTTGCAGAACATTTACAAAATCTCAGTTTATAGAGTGAAGCAGTTGAGATGTCAATTTTTTTTAACGTTTACCTTTTAATTCATTTATTTTTTGAGATGGAGTCTCGCCCTGTCCCCCAGGCTGTAGTGCAGTGACGCGATCTCGGCTCACTGCAACCTCTGCCTCCTGGGTTCACGTGATTCTCCTACCTCAGCCTCCTGAGTAGCTGGCATTGCAGATGCGTGCCACCACCGCTGGATAATTTTGGTATTTTTAGTAGAGACAGGGTTTCACCATGTTGGCCAGGCTGGTCTCAAACTCCTGACCTCAGGTGATCCGGCTGCCTCAGCCTCCCAAAGTGCTGGGATTACAGCTGTTAGCCACCACGCCCGGCCTAAAAAAGCTTCTCTTATGATCTTAGGATGGTCTTCAAATGAGAGGAGTCCCTGGAGAAACTACTACCTGGTCCCCAGAGGAGTTAACCTGACTGCCCAAGTTCTCCAGTCGGCAGCCTAGCGTGTCACCTTGTGGGTTAAAATGCATTTGAATGTGTGTGTTTGTTGGTACATGTTTGGTAACGTTTTAAATTACCAAAAATACATGTTAAAGGAGATTGTACATTTACACACCTCTACAGAAAATTCAGTTCCAAAAGATGGGCCGACTTCTCATTTTAGAGATGAAGACAGAGAGGCCCAGAGAGGGGCGGTGATTCATCCAAGGCAGAGCCAGGCAAAGCCAGGTAGGAGGAGCGTCCGGGAGGGAGCTCTGCTCTGCCCGCCACCCTGTGCTCTTTCTCACACCTGATCATACGAGTGTAAAGTCCTACTTGATGGAAATATGTGACATATATTGTCATTTGTTCCTCCCAGGTGCCATGATTACTCTCTTTAATGGGTGAGGAAGTTGAGGCACTAATTGGGCTAGGAAACTTGCTGAAGGTCCCATGGGCAGTAAATCACAAAGCTGGGGTGGGACTGATCCTAGGATGCTGCTCCCACCAACAATTGTGAACCAATGCGAGGGCCCCGTCTCCCTCCCAGGGGCCTTGCTAGCCCAGGGCTGCAGACTCTTCCCAGCCACCCCTGCCCTGGAGCGTTAGGCCCGACCGACCACGCCAGCTCGGGGAACATACAAAGGCCACGCGGAGGACAGAGTGGCCCGGCAGCGCCTCTGTGGACGTGCGACGCAGACATCACCAGATGATTTATGTAACTTCTTACATAATGGCAGTGTTTCTATCAAAGACCAGCCCGCGGCAGGCTGTCAGCCGTAATCAGAGCGGACGTGCTTCTTGCTTCCTGGGAACAGGAGGCATCAGGTCAAAGCCAACCCCTTTGGCTGCCAGGCCGAGGGCTTCCTGCGCTGGTGAAGTTGCCTGGCATGGCTGTGCCCTCAGAGGAGGCAGAGACCTTGTAATGCCCCAGAGTAGTCACAGCCCGGCTCAGCCAGCCCTAGCACCCCTGGCTGCAGTCCACCTCCAGTGACAGAGGCCACTGTCAGTGCGATCAAGTCCCACATTGGAAGTGGTTTCAACCATATTATCGTACCATGAAAGGGAGACTGGCTTTGGAGATGAGATCTTTGAACTTCGCCCCTACCTGGCTGTGTGATCTTGAGGTAGTCACTCACCTTCTCTGGGCCTCAGTTTCCTGGTTGAATTACATCATCAATTCTTGACCTCTGTGCTGCACACGTGGATATTGACATGGTGCTATCATGTGATGTGGTGCTATATGATAGCGTGCCACAAGTCAGTGCTACTTGTGTTTGGCAAATGATTTGCTTTTTCCTAATATAAATCAGAGCAGATTCAACATCATAAAATCAGGTAAGCCCACTTGTACTCCCCTGTGCATTCTTGAAAGGAATATGAACGAGTGGGGTTAAAGCTGCTGAGCCTGAGGACTCAAGCCCCAGGAAAAGAGGAGCGCTCAGCCCATCTTCACCATGTGGAGTCTCGAGAGGGGTGGGGTTCAGGCAAAGAGCTCTGTGTTGAAGAAGAGTGGTGCAAGCAGACCTCTGTGTCTTGTTCCTGATTTTAGGGGAAAAGCTTTTGGTCTTTCACCTTGGGATATGATGCAGCTGTGGGAATTTGGAGATCCTCTTTATCAAGTTGAGGATACTTTCTTCTATTCCTAATTTTCTGGGAGTTCTTGACATGAATGGATGTTAAATTTTGTTAAATGAATTTTTGGATCAATTTATATGATCATGTGGTTTTTTCTTTAGCCTATTTACAATTTTTATTATGCTAAGATATAACATCATAACATTTACTATTTTGCTCTATCTTTCTGTCTTTTCCTCCCTCCCTCCCTCCCGCCCGCCCTCCCTCCCTCCCTCTCTTCCCTCCTTCCTTCCTTCCTTCCTTCCTTCCTTCCTTCCTTCCTTCCTTCCTTCCTTCCTCTCTCTCTCTTTCTTTCTTCTTTTTTTGAGACAAGGTCTTGCTTTGTCACTGCAGTGCAGTGGCACAATTGTGGCACACTGCAGTGTCTTGACCTCCTGGACTCAAACAATCCTCCCACCTCAGCGTCCCGAATAGCTGAGACTACAGGTTCATGCCAACACATCCAGCTAATTTTTAAAAATTTTTTGTAGAGAAGAGGTCTCACTATTTTTCCCAGGCTGGTCTCAAACCCCTGAGCTCAAGCTATCCTCCCGTCTCAACCTCCCACTGTGCTGGGATTACAGGTGTGAGCCACCACACCTGGCTGCATTTCACTTCTGATATCATAATCTATGTCTTCTCTCTTTTGGTCAGTCTTGCTAGAAGCTTGTTAATTTGATTGATCTGTTTAAATAACCAGCTCTTTTTTATTTTATTTTTTTTCTATTTCTTTTTCTGGCTTCAATGTCATTGACTTCTGCTTTTATCTTTATTATTTCCTTTCTTCTTCTTGCTTTGGGCTTATTTTACTTTTCTTTTTCTGAGGGCATGGCTTTGATCATTGATTGAGATCTTCCTTGTTTTCTAATGTAGGCCTCTTAGTGCTATAAAATTTCCTCTCAGCACTGCTTTGGCTGCATCTCACACATTTTGATATGTTGTGCTTGCATTTTTGTTTGGCTCAGTATATTTTTGTTATTTTCTTTGAGATGTCCTCTTTGGCAACAAGAAGACCTATGTGGGACTTTCTCAGCAACAAGAAGACCTATGTGGGACTTTTCTGGGGAGCTGATAATGCTCAACAAGTGGGTGCAAAGCATTTAATGAGCACCTACTATGTACAGGACATTCTCTGAGATGCTGGGGATAGCAAAATGAATACGAAATCCATGCCAACAGCCTTGAAAATGGTTTACTGACCTCTTATTAAATGCTAATAATGTTTCAAAAACTTCCTCTGTATTAACTCCTTCATAATGAGGTGGATATTGCTATTATGCCTACTCTACAAATGAGGACACTGAGGCACAGGTTGACTAAGTGACTTGCCCAAGACCCCACAGCCAAAAGGGGTGAAGCTGGAGTGAAACCCAAGCCAATTACTGTGATTAATTTTATGATTACTCATCATGATCAGTAAGCTGTGAGCCTGCTATTCCTCATCCTTGAAGTGGAGCTAAGACCAGTTCCCTGGCAGGGTTGATAATGAGAATTAAGATATCAGCCATGAAAACTCAACAAACATATCACCTGGTTCATAATCGGTGCCCTTCCCTTGCCTTCACCTCTCCCCTGGGCTGGATATAATGGCTGCCCAGGTGAAGCCATAAGGAAGGGCTAGTGGGACAAAAGTGACATGATAGTGGTGTCTGTGCCCTGCGGAGCATCCCCAATGGACCACTGCCCCACATTCACACCCCTGCTCTGTACGCTCCCCCACCCCCACATGTCCATCACCTTGACTGTGTCCTCCAGCACTGGTAGGCCTCGTCACTCACCCAGGCACCAACTAGGAATGAAAAGTCTGTTTGATCTCAACCGTCATCTCAGGTTTGATTGGTGATGACTGGCAGGTGCCCTGTGGAGAGATTCCGAGGGCTCAACAGATAGAACACTCTGATCAACTAGCGATGCCTTCCCCAAGGGAAGATGGAGATGAAGCCGGCTGTGTGCCAAGTGTCCCTGGATCCAGTTCAGAATCACAGGATGGGAAGCCAGGGATGTCAATACTTGGCATTCTGGTGATCCAACCCTGCAATTTTAATCAAGGGATTGGAGCCCCTTGAGAAAAACAGTGACTTACTCAAGCACATATTCCTGTGACTAAGATTCAAGTTTCCCACCTCTCAGGCCAGAATTCATCAGGTCCTTTCAACAGACATTTGTTACTAAGTTTCAACTCCAGGCTGGGCACTGACTTAGCCATAATAGATATCTTACACATCTCATAGTATTTATTCTCACAACAGCCTTCTGTGATAGATCCTAATGTCATTCCCATCTGGCAGATGTGGAAACTGGGGCTCACATAGACTAAAGAACTTAACAGCTAGTGAGAGTTAGAGCCAAGATTCGAATGCTTACCTCCTAACTCTGAACCTGGGATCTTTCTAACATGCTACTTTGTTTCATGGATGAGAGGCAGCAGTGATAGCAACAGCCATAGCTTGAGTCAAGGCACTGAGGCGGAGAGTGTTAGGCATTTTGTAGAGCGGAGACAGTGAGAAGCTCAGT